GGTTGGGGCATGGTGTCAGCTCCAGCCAGATGGTGCAGGTGAGGGGCAGAGCTAGGGCTGGGTGGGCCAGATCCTGGGCACAGATGGGACACTGAGAGACTGCAACGTGGACAAGGACCCAGGACTGCTGCAGGGGAGCAAGGTCCTCCACAGTCCCAGCTGCCCCAAGGCAAGTGATGCTGCAACCCCAGGCAGGCCAGGCACTGTGGCTCCATGACCCCTGGGGGAGGCCATCTGCATGGGCCACCAGCCCCCCACCTGGGCCCATGACTGGACACACCTTGGTCATGCCCTGCATGTGGTAGGTGCCAGAAACACCTAGACACTCGTGCCCATCTGACGTGTCATGCACCCAAGACAGCAGTCCCACCTGGACACCATATTTCCTCTGATGTGCTCCTGTCACACCCTGGCCACACCAGCAGAACCCAGAAGGGCTCAGTCCTGTCCCCTGTCAAGGAGCCTGCTCCAGGCAGCCACCCTCAGTCACCACAGGAACCTCAAGCAGAGGGTAACCACCCCAGGACCCTCACACATCCCAACCACCCAAGGCTGGGCCCCGACTTCTAGCTCTCGCTGGCCACCTGCACCCATCTATGTGAAAGCCTCTCCGGCCCACTGCAGCCAAAGCGACTTCCTCCTCCAAACCCTGCCATCCTCAGCCCTCATGTGTGCTTTTAGTTCTCTTAAAACAGTGTCGTTCCGATGACAGAAAAAGAATTAGAACACAAGCATGGAGTTTTGAGCCACTGTTCTCCTCCAGAGTGCTGGGTGCACAGGCTCAGGTGCAGGGCCTTACGCTGGGATCTCAGAGGTATGACTGTCACCTGCATCTCACAGGCTGGCTGGATCAGAGAGGAGGGCCTGGGGGAGCAGCCTCCAGTTCCCGGTGCCCAGAGCACAGGACGCTCAGGAGTAGCAGGAGTAAAATTTATCAAAAGCAGAAAGACCCTGTCCAGGGAGGATTGGGCACCGAGAAGAGCTCATGCCAAGAAGGGCAGCGCTGGGCCCTGTGGCTGTGGGATGACCTGTGGCTGGGGACAGACAGGAGTCCTGGCCAAGTGGGTACCTGACTCAGCCCACCTGTCTGGAGGGGATTCTGTGACCATTCCAGGTTTTCCAAGGAAGTGTGTTGGTGCCCAGGCCCATGGTAAGGGGTCAAAACCACACACAAATGATGTTGACCCAGGCAGGGTTGGGTGCTCCTGGTCTTGAACAAGCCTAAGGTCTTGGGGGTGGGAGACTTTCATCTGCTGGAGTCATCTCTGATATTTTGGCATAGTCCTCCCTATTTGCCCAACCTACTGGTCCTCACTCCTCTTCCTCCTCCCTCAGCAGGAGTTCAGGCTGGGCCACAGGCTCCCAGGGCCCTCTGCCTAGGGTCCAGGAGAGGAGAAGAGGTTCTTAGAGATCTTGTATTCCAACACCCTGACCGCAGAGGTGGGGAAACAGCCTCAGTGAGGAGGGGTGGCTCACTTATACAAGTTCCAGGAGCAGCCAGCAACATCGCATGTGTCATCCCCCACGGGTTGTCTGGCTCTGTCCTGTCGCTCACACCACTACACAAGGCTTGGTGTGACACCACATCCCCCGGAAGCAGTGGGCACAAAACCACCACCAGCTGCAGCCATCCCTGCATTTCCTGTGCTATCCAAAAATCCTGGACTTTCCAAACTTCCGAAAAGTTTCCCCATGATTCAACTCCTGGGGTTGTTTTCAAATTCTGCAGTTTTATTTCATAAGACACCATCAAGAGTGAAAAACAAATGTCTTGGCAATACATGTGCCTGATGACAGCCTTCCATCCATCCAGAATATAAAAAGAACTAAAAACCAGACGAGGGGCTGGTGAGTGTGGAAGGGTGGAGGTCTTGGAGAAGGTGCTGAGAACCAGGTGAAGGGTACTGGGTGCCATTACCAGCCGGGAGGAGCAAGGTTAGAGCACACCAGCAGAGCCTGGACAGAACTGAGTGAACAGCAACCCAGAACCATCAGAACCCACCGCAGGAGGGGGCGGAGCAGCAGGACCGAAGTTTTGGGAAACAGTGGGAGCTTTGACAACGATGAAATCTCTGCAGACCGCGCCTGTGTCCCTATGTAAATGTTTCTATGGAGACACACCAAGAGGCCTGCTCATGACTCGCACGGCAGCCCCCACTGCACAGCCCGAGTGCCCTGGGTTCCCAAGCTGCTGCGCACCTCGGTTGTGGTCCACCCCTGCCAGAGAGTGTCACACAGCAATGAGAAATCACAGGGCACAGCTGTGCGCAGCTGCCTCCCACCAACTCCACGAGGTGCGATGAAACTCCTGCCGCACTATTTGTCTACAGGACATTTTCAAACATGAAGAATTCTTCTTGAGGATGGATGTGGGGATGAGGGTGTTTTACCAGGTGGAGGAGACTTCAGGGAAGCTGAAAATGTCCTCTCTGCCTGGGTGCTGGACACCTGGATGTGGTCACTCCCAGGACACCCATCCAGCTGGACACACACGCTCTGTGCCTTCCTTTCTGTGATATATTCAGACAAACAACACTAAAAGCTTCCCAACAATTTTAAAACTGATTTTCACTAAAACCAAGGAAAGACAAGTTCATTCCCCTTTGCAAAAGAAAAATATACTAATTCTTTTGAATCTGACACAACAGCAGCAACAAACCTGAGTTTTGCATGCAGAAAGCAGCGTTGATCCCTTGTGAGAGGCTTTGTGGAGGGATAAATCCCAGGCACTATCTTCTCAGGGCTCCAGAGTGCGCCCATGCAGAGGGGCTGAGGGAGGAAGGAAATAACTTGAGTTGAGCTCCTGAAAAATCAGAAATTCTAGCAAAGTCAGCAACAAAGACATGGCCCTTGACCTGTTTTCCTCAGACCAGGGCATGTGGCTTCCCACCTGCATGAGGGCTGGAGTGAGCCTGGCCACAGCCCGGCCTCCTGCTCTCCAGCTCTCAGCCCATCCCAGGGAGGCCTGGCAGGCTGATGGCACCACTATTGAAAGGCTGGGTGAGATACCATGTGGGCTGGGCAGGCCCTGAAGGCCCTCTCTGGCGCGCCCCATGGAAGGAAAGAATCTCTTCTGAGCAAATGGACTTCCAGCTGGCGGTGGGGTTCTGGGGAAATGGCGCTTGCAATCCCCAGGGTCCCAGCCCCTTGGGTTTTGAGGGATGCCCTGCAGGCCGAGAAATGGAGCAAAAGAGGCTACAGCAGGTCCGGTGAGTCCGTGGTGGGGGACAGACACAGATGGAGGTGCCCTGGGACAGGGACATCCCTGTGCCCACATGGGCAGGAGCCCACATGCAGAGCCCGGGCACCCTGGAGACTGTGACAGGGGAGAGAGAAGCTCCAGTCAGCTCAGAAGCAGGAGTCTTCCTGGGGCTGGGAAAACCCTGCGACAATGGATGAAGGAGGTGCCGGGAGACTATGAGGGGTACACGGGGTGCTCAGTGGGCATCTGGGTGCCAGCCAGCCCAGTCCAAGCACGACCCCCAGCCAAGCAGCTCAGGGTGGCTGTGCTCAGCTGGGTGCTCTTTCACTTCAGGGCCTGGGAAAAGCCACTGACCCTGGCCCCTCCCACAGCAGAGGCTCAGGGTACTGGGTTAGAGGCAGCTGCATGTCCAGCCTGGGAGAATCCACTACATCCAGTGCCTAGGGCCACACAGGGTCCACATCACAGGGCCCCAGGGGCTGTCAGGCTAGGGGAATTTGTGCCATGTCCACATGCTCGCCTGGCACCTGGCCCCTCAGCCCCTCTGGCTTGGGTGCAGCTCCTGCCTCTGCCCTGCCCAGCCAAAGTCACCCAGTGCTGTGTCCAAAGCCAGCCTGCCTACCTCCCAGCAAGGTGCCAAGGCTGCAGGCCACCTTGGCAGGGAGGTGGCAGGGCTAAGACTTCCGGCCCTGCAGGTTCCTAGTCTGGGTGGGGCAGAGGCAGCACAGAGGGACCATGAGGAAACCCCTGTGGCCAGGTGATGGGCCTGACCTGCAGCTCCTGACCCAGCCAGCCAGGGCATCCTTACTCATGTGTGTGTGTGTGTGTGTGTGTGTGTGTGTGCACGCATGCGTGCGTGCATGTGAATGTGTGCCCAAGATGAAATTGGGACTTTGCACACACCAGGCATGTGCTGTACAACACTGAGCTACATCCCAAACCAAGGCTTCTTATATTTTAAAGAACAATAGACTATGGAATCCAAGAATCCAATGGATCCTTTCTCTAGTTGACTAAATGTATAAAACTGAACAACAATGACAAAAAAAAAAAAAATGCCAGGCGTGGTGGTGCACATGTGTAATGTCAGCGCTCAGAAGGCTGAAGCATGAGGATCGCTGCATGTTTGAGGCCAGCCTGGGCTGTACAGTTTCTAGGCCAGCCTAAACGACTAACAAGACCCTGTCTCAAATAATAATAATAATAAAGTAAACTGACTCAGAGCTGATTTTCATGTCAAGATGATGGGGCAAGTCAGCAGCCCCATTAGAAGTTGAGGAACGGAAGCAGAGACTCTCCTGCAGCCTCTCCGGGACACAGGAGAGAATTATTCACAATGCTTGAACTTGGATAATTCAGCCACCTTGCTCTCCCCAGTGAGGAGCATTTCCTTAATTAAGTGATGAATCACCTCCCAGGCCCTGGGGCTGTTACTCTTCCCCACAAGCCCGCTGTCATCCTGAGAGTGCTTTGGTGGCAGGCGTCCTGAGCTGATGCTGAGGCTGGAGTTGGTGGGCAGTGCGGGGAGAGATGGCCTGGGAAAGGGGGCTCAAGGGGTGGCCAGGGTGCTGGGATTAGGGACCCACCAGCTGGGGTTTCCCAGAGGGGAAGCCAGCTGAGGTCCTCTCTGCGTGCAGGGGTGCAGTCTGCAGAGGCGGAGACCCAGGCGAAAAGATGCCCACCCGCACCCCACATCCATCCCAGCAGTGTCACTGCCACCACTCTCCACCGTGACTGTGCCAGCAGCCCTCACAGACTCCAGTCCTGGGTACCATGGCCAGAAAGCTGGTCTCATACTGGGAGACGGGCAGCCTTCCCACCCGACATGCCCGCTAGGCCCTAGCGAGCTGAGGGACATGGACAGGGCCCAGTTCAGGTCCCGCCTCGGTGCCATTCCACCCAGGCTGAAGTCCCAGGATGGCCCAGCTGTGGTCCTGGGTCCTGGGCCCTGGTCCCAGTCCTACGAGCTTTGTGGCACAGGGGACACACAGCAGGCACCCTGCCCCCTCCTGCGGGGCTCAGGCTGAGGACCACAGCCCCACCTGGCCACCTCCCTCCCCACAGCCCGGAAAGGGGACCCTCCCCGGCTCTTCCAGCCTCTCCCCACGTGGTTGTGGTTTCCAGCCAGTTGGGAGCCCCTCCTGAGCCCCCAGTCACCACTCAGTCACAGCAGGGACTCATCTCAGCTCTGCCCCCAGATAGATGTAAGGGCTTCAGTTCAGCTGCGTTGCCATTTGCCATCCTGAGGGGCTCAGAGCACCACCCTGGGGTTGCAGACTGGTCTTCCCCTATCAATGGTGTGTCAGGTATGGGATGGAGTCCAGGATGACTCGGAACCCTGGTGCAGGCAAGAGTGAGGTGGGAGCAAGGTGAGGCCCAGGTGTCCTTACCTGGCAGAGAGAGAAGCAGGGGCTCCTGGCCACAGGAGAAGGGGCAGGAGGGCAACTGTGTGCGAGGCGCCCCGGCTCAGGGCTGGGAGCACTGCTTGTCAGAACCTTCCACAGCCAGGGCTGGTGGGGCCCCGCAGGCCAGGGACAGAGCCGACAAACAGGAGCAGCTCATGAATGTTAACAACTTCCCATGGCTGAGAAGGACTTCAAGTGAGTATTTCCCGTGACAAGCACCACGGTAGGCAGGGAAGTATTTGTGACAGTTAAACACAAAAGATTAGCAGCACCCAAAGCCATCAGCCACTGTCACCAAGTGAAAGACAAAGGGCCCTGAAACAAAGGGGGCTAAGAGCAGCACTGCAGCTGGCACCCTGGGTCCTCCAGACTCAGGACAGGAGGGGGACCTACATTCATGAGACGGGGGTGACAGCTTGGGGACAGAGGGCTGCCTTCTCTCTGAGCTGTCCAGGTTTATACCTGTGGACCTGGAGGCTGCACAAGACGGGCAGGCATGCAGCTGGAGGCAAAGCAGGAAGTCCCCAGCCTCCGGGGGCCAAGGGTGCACACGGAGCCGTGTCCAACTAAAAACAAGAAGAGGTTCACAGGGCGCCGCACTAACACACACCCAGCCCGTTACCCGTGCTGCCGGCTCTGTGCTGGAAATGGGCAGAGCTTTCCCACATCCGCAGTTCTGAAACACACTCCTGCACAGGAGGGTGGCACACGTGTGCAAAACCAGGTTCACCACAGTCTGCGCACACACTGGGAAGGCCAGGTACACACGAGTCATGCCTGCTCGCTGGGCTCCTTCTTTGGGTTTCCTGGGGTTTGGTCCTGGCCAACAGCAGCCTCTGCAGGCAGCGGGCTCCAGGGCCCCGGGCCTCTCCTCCTCCTTGCTCCTTCCTTTCTCTCCCTCTCTCTCCTTCCTTCCTCTCTCCCTTTCTCCTTCCTCCTCTCTCTCATTTCCTGGGTCCCCTGACCACACACTGGGTACGTGAGAGGAACAGGCCCCACTCAGGGACCGCAGCCCCAGCTTCCAGGGCCAGGCACTCACAGAGCAGTGAAGGGCACCTCTGCGGGAAGGGGGCCCAGCAGCCCCCCTGGGCCCCGGGTGCAAGTGGCAGCTCCAGGACTGGGAGGAGCCCTCGCATTTTGTGGCGCACACACGGAAGGTGACCGGTACTGGTGGAGACTGTGTTTAGCTGGGATTCTAACTTTTAACATCGTGTTGAACACAGTGATCTGGATCCAGATCCGGTTTATGGCAGTGCCAAGCCAACAGCATGTGGCCAGGAGCTGCTCAGTGGAAACGGGGCATCCAGGGTTATTCCAGCCCTGCATCTCAGGGAGTCTCCACAGCCCCAGGGCCCCTGGATGCTGCATTCTTTCTAGTTTCTTTCACATACTCTGGTGCTCCTTCTTGGGTTCTGTTGGTGACTTCTGGATCTGACTGTGTCATGCCTGGGAACAAGCAGGAGGAAACCAAGTCCCTCTGAGCCAAGGATGTCCACACTGAGACCTCCAGCTGGACGGACACTTGGTCTGGATGGGTGGCTGCTGCCCTTTGACCTGCAGAGCCCAGCATGGCCTCCCGCGTGGCAGTGGCCTAACCTGGGGGCTCAGCACTGCAGTGCAGGGCTACACCCTGTGCCCAGGAGGCTTCAGGCAGCCCTGCCCCTGGCAGCCTGAACTTCAGTCCTGACAGACCAGGCCAGGCTGTGCTGAGCAGGTACCATTCTGAGACCCAGCCCAGAGAGAGACTGGAGGCTGTCCTGGGGACACAGCTGTACCCTGGGGATAACCTCCCCTGCACAGCCGATAGTGCGAGGACTGAGGCACCCTGTTCCTGGCTCCTCCTGAGGTACCTCGGTGCCAGCCGAAGCTCTGTGCCCAGACTCCACAGCACACTCGAGTGGCAGTGAGTCCAGCTGCCTGGGGACACGCTCTGCCCTGGGTTCTAGCTGGGGACCTGAAACCACAGAATGACCAGGGAGAGGCGGTCTCAGCACCCCAGCATCCCACCTGCCCCTGCTCTGGATCTCAGGAAGCTTTCGGGAGGGATTGGAGAGCTGTGCAGCCCTTCGGGGCTCAGGAGGGCTGTGCCTCCTCGCCATCCAGCCGTGGGTGCCATCCAGCCATGGGCAGGTTGGGTTTCTCCCCTAGAGGAACCTGTGGGGCAGCCCAGAAGAGAGATTGCGGTATTGGGGGTGCCGGCTGAATAGGGTCCAGGGCTGAGATAGAAGCCCGTTGTCGGCTGAGCCTCCCACGGCGGCTCCCAGGGACAGCAGAGGTTGGGGTGGCGGCACTCGGTCAGAAAGCTGAGCTGTGTGGGCTGGGAAGAGGGCAAGGCACCCAAGACAGTACAGGGGACAGAGCAGTGCTGCCCACTGCCACCCACGGAGGCCACAGGGGGACAGATGGCCGGGTTCTGCTCCTCAGTGCACAGCAGCGCAGGCCCAGGCGTGGGGTCCTCAGGCAGCGGCAGCACTAGAAGTGGACAGATGACGCGGCAGCTGGCACGTCAGGCTGGACCGACACGCATCTTCCCAGTGAAAACTCCAAGCACCTTCCATATTGAGGTCCCAGCCACCCTCCTCCTGCTCCCACCACTGTGCTCCATCTCGTGACTGTGACGCTTCGGGACCACACACGAGTGACCTCTGCTTGTCCTGTTATGACTAACTTACCTTGCTCGGCCCAATCTCAGCAAAGCTCTTCCATCTGTGACATGGGTCAGAATTTCCCCTTTTGATGCCTGAATAATATTCCATTGTGTGACTGGACCCCGCTGTGTTTATCTGTCCTGCTTGGTGGGCCCCCGGGTCATCGCCTTTTGGGAACAACTCTGCTGTGAAGGCGGGCAGACAGACGTCCCTTTGAGGCCCTGCTTTCATTGCTTGGGTGTGTTCCGGAAGTGGAATGCCTGAGTTACTCGGTAACCCCATGCTTAACCTTTGGGAGAGCACCACACTGCTTCAGGCTGCGCTATGTGACCCCGGCAGCAGAGCAGAGGCCTGGGACCTCCAGCCGCTCCCGGCCCTTGGTGAGAGTGTGACCTATCCAGATGACTTTTCCTGTGCCTGTTGGACATTTATTTTCTGGTTTAGGTAGGTGTTTTGTTTTGTTTTGTTTTGTTTTTGAGACAGTGTCTCCTGTCTGCCCCGGCTGGCCTCAAACTCAAGGCAATCCACCTGTCTCAGCCTCCTGCATAATGGGACTGCAGACACAGCCCCCATGCCGGCTGGCATGGCCGTTGTGCATCCTTGGAGAGAGATCTGTTCTGGTCCCTGAAGGTGGCAGGCCCCTAACCCAAATGTCCCCGCTCACCTGTTGCCAGTGCCTCCCCCATGTCACCCACCCTCAGCCGTGGTTGGAACTGGGCAGGGCCCAGTGGGGAGGGGGAGGGGTACCCCAGGCCCTGCCCCTAGCCTCTCCCTGGCACCCCCCCCAGTTCCTGGCTTCTCATTGCCTGGTAGCACCAACGAGAACCCTCGGCCTGAGCGTTCTCACGGCTTCAGTTACAAACCCCAGGCGGGTTTAGTGATGGGATTAATTAAACGGATCAGAAATTATCCTTCTCGGCTTCTCCTCTTTCACCTTGCTTTCTGGCAAGCACCTACTTCACAGCCAGGAAGGACTCCCCTCCCTCCTGGGACTGGGCACTCTCAGAACGCCTGAACACCAATTAATTTGTCTCATTTACATGAAAAACTGCAGAAGATGTCTTTTTACATAATTAACTATATTTTGCAAGTCATTAAAATTCTGCAGCCCTGCCCGCAATAGCACCCTATTCACCGCAAGAGATAAGGGGCTAGGGGCTGGGAACGGCCCCCCCAGGAGAGGCCACCTCATGCATATTCATGAGAAGAGTTGCAGCAGTGGCCGCACAGGGTTGGCCCCTTCCCTGTTTCCAGGAGTCTGGTCCTGCTGGTCCTGTGGGTAGGGTGTAGGGCTCAGATGAGCCTGTGACCCCAGCAGCCATCCCACCATACCCAGGCAGAGGGCACAGCATGCCTGCATCCCTCCAGCCTGCCCCCCCCCGTGAACCCCCGAC